TACAGAAATTCTTCTGCCTGAGGGCAGGCCCTGGCACAGGGTGCCAGAGCAGCTGTGGCTGCCCCTGGATCCCTGGCAGTGCCCAAGGCCAGGCTGGATGGGGCTTGGAGCAGCCTGGGTTAGTGGAAGGTGCCCCAGGCCAGCAGGGTGTGGAGTGGGATGGGGTTTGAAGTCCCTTTCCACCCCAAACCATCCTGGGATTCTGTGATTTTTAACATACTGGGACCTGTGGAGCTTCTGTGATATTTATTATTGCACTGTCCCCCACACACAAACCTGCCCTGCCTGCAGGTCACTGTCCCCCACACACAAACCTGCCCTGCCTGCAGGACACTGTCCCCCACACACAAACCTGCCCTGCCTGCCAGGCAGACCTGGGCTCCCCTGTGCCTGGAAGCTGTGACCTCCCTCCTGAGCAGGAGTTGTGATTTTGATGCCTGGAGAGGCTGCCTGGAGCAGAGGCTGGACAGAGTTAAAGGAGTGAAATGGGGATTCATTAAGAGGAGTTCACAGGACACACCTTGGGCAGTGCAAGAGCCCAGCCAGGGCTACACCCTGGGTCACGAGTTTTCCCCCTTTTATCAGTTTTGCTCCATTTCCATGTTGGGTTCATTGTCCAATTCCAGCTCCAGGTGATGCAGTCCCACCCTCCCAGGCTTCTCTCCTCCATTCCCTGCTGTTTGCACTTTTTGGGCTGAAGCTGCCATGGTGTCCTTGGTTCTGGGGCTGGAAAAGGATTGTTCTGTGTGCCTGAGCTGTGAGGAGAACTTGCCATCACTCTGTATGAAGTTCAGAGTCACACACCAACACAGTACAGAATGTGGAAAATATAAAAGCTGAAACTTAAGGCATCAATTTAGGCAGTGGCAGCCTGCAGCTGGAGGTGGAAGCCCTGGATGTGTGGGTTTCAGGAAGGCAAGCTGAGCTGCCTGTCCCCGAGCAGCAGCAGCTTTGTTCCCCTGCTTGCCAGCAGCTTTGCCCTGTTGGGGGGTGTTTCACACAGGAGCAGCAACAGGCACCCAGTGAGGAACCACTGCTCAGCTTTCCTGCAGACAAACACCTGGCTGTGCTTAGCAGGGCTCTCTCTGGTCTTTGATCTTCACTTCAGCAGAATTTTTCCCAGGAAGCCTCAGCCCTGTGGGTTCTGGCCATGGGATGTCATGTGGCTGTGCCATCGCTGTGGGGACCTGGGCGCAGAGCTCTGCATCCCTCTGCAGCCAGCCTGCGAGGGGAGAGAGGCAGAAAAACTGCATCAGTCACACGGGGCACAGCTGCTGCTTGGATCAACATCTTGCTGAATATTTGCTTATTTTTTGTGCGAAAACACTGCTCAAGTTCCTTCTCATAACACATTTTGTCTTTGTAAATAATGCTTAAAGATTATTTTAATCACGGTCACGGCGGTGTGCTTTAGAAATTATTTTTTTTTTAGTTGTGGTTAATGCTGGAGAGATAAGAGATGAACATTTTAAAAATAACTTTCAGTCTTGACATTTTGCTGTCAATATTGCATGTTCAGATGCACCTGTACTGCAGAGATTTACAGGTGCACCTGAGTTGCTCGAAGCATCAACAGCCCAGAGCAGAGACCTGAGCCAGGGATTTCAAACCTCACTGCAAAATACTTAATAATTAATCTGCAGTGAGAATTTCCTTGTTGTAACAGGAATATATTTGAGATGGAAGTTTTAGTAACCTAAATGTAAATCATGGATCCAGATGAGGTGATTAAAAATGCATTCCTGTGACCAGGTAAATAAATCCAAAATGCTACATGTGTGTTTTAGTCCATGTGTGTATTAGTCCTTGGAACAAATGGATAAAAAAGGACTAAGGAAAAATGGATTAAAAGGACAAATGGACAAAAAGGACAAATCTGACCCTGATTCAGTGTCCTGTTTCCATCATGGCCAAGTCTGCACTGGACAAGGAAAGGCCTCTGGTGCTGCTGCCCTGCTTTGTTCTCCAGTCTCTACAGAGCTCACATATATCAGACATGGTGGTTTTGCATTTTAAAGTGTCAGTTCTTGGTATCTGTGGCATCCTGTAGCAAAGTCTTACAGAACTTTGTGCTGCAGGATGCTGTGGTTATATTTAGAAATTCACAGATTATCTGTAAGCACTATGTAATCAGTTTGATTTTTTTTTTCCCTGTGGTTATTTGACATCTTTCTTCTGTTTGTCCTAGATATGCAAGTTCTGGCATTGACCATCCAGGAAACACATCCATGAGGAAGGTAATGATTTATAAATGTGCTTTAAATTAGCAAAAAATGCCTCAACTTTTCAATTCATTGCCATATTTTAAAAAGATAGCTTAGATATACCAAACCTTGATATTTGCCTATGTTATGAAAGAGCTGAAAACAAAAATCTAGGAATAATTTCCAAGTTAAGGAAACTGGCTGCTGCAAACACAGCAGGTCAGTGTGCCTGCAATACTTTTAGTTAAGGTTAGGAACTTAGGAATTCAGTTAAGTTTAGGAATCTTGGTGTGTGTGTTCTGAAGTGTGTGATGTTTGGGGAGGAGAATCACACACCAGGTTGGGCTGGAAGGCACTTCTGGAGGGAGGCTTACCCTGAAGCTAAAGAAAAGTTTTAAAACTCTTAGAATGTTTAAATAGTACCAATACTATGATAAGGAGATTGGGGATTAAGATTTTCAAATATTTTTGTGGTACCAACTTTGAGGTGCTCCATTTTCAATGGAAAATAGCTGCAAAAAGATTTGTTTTATTATTATTTCATACAAAGGACAAACAACAGAACCTTCATTTGTTGAGTGTCAGTTCTTCATTCTGACTTGGCACATTTTACACTGATGAGTTTGGACAGGGCTTGGGCCACCCTGGGACAGTGGGAGGTGTCCCTGCCATGGCAGAGGGGATGGGATGAGCTTTAAGGTCTCTCCCAACCCAAACCTTTCTGTGGCTCTGGTGACTCAGTTCTAAGCAGTTTTCCCTAAAAACTCCTGAGGTTAAAACCAGTGGAGCTACAAGCAACCAGTTTTACTTTCATTTAGTGTTTCTGTGCCAGCACTTCTCCTATCCCTGATTACACTGAGAACTCCTTAATTTACCTTCAGGAGCATCTATTCAATTCTAGCACCTTTTTAATTTCATTTTTCACCATGCTGGCTTTGGGTGGGGGTGGCAGGGTGTGCTCTCTCTGACTGTGGCCTCGTGGTGTGGTTTTGAGATAAGAATTGAAACACTGACAGCCCCAGAGAGTTCTCCATCATCTGTCTGTATCCCATAGCAACTCTGAGTCACTTGGAGTTGTGAGCTCTGTTTCCTTACAGTGTTTGCCACCAAGTTAATTATATTACAGTGGTTCTTTTATCTCTCAGAATGTGGAGTTTGAATTTTTATATTAGCAGGGCTAATTAACCACTGATTCCTAAGGTATTGCAAACCTTTCACTTTCTCTAGTTTCCTGGTTTGAACACATTCTGTGTGTGCATAAACAAAACAGGAATAATTAGCTAAGCATTTTAGAAGCAAGATATTTTTATTTCAGAAAGATATTTTCAGCTCTCCCTTGATTTGTTGTGCTGCTTCTGTCACTATTTTTAAAATTTTGATATTAAATGATGCATACCAGTTTCTGGTGAGTTCCCCCTCCAGAGGTTTCATTTGCCTTGCAGTTCTTTAAACTTACCCACATTTCATTATAGGATTTTATTCCGTCCCTACATTTCTCTAGCCTAAACTGGGGGAAAATTTGGTGATGTCTTTTTCAGGAACACACCTGCTTTGCCCTGCTGCATTTCTCTGGACAGAGGAACATTGAGCAGATTGTTCCAGCCCCAGCCAGCACAGAATTCCAGTCGACACACCAGGGCAGATCAATATTGCTGCTGTGATTTGCAGCACATCCACAAACCCCCCAGAGCTGCTGTGCACATTTGATACCTTCTCTCAGAGTTTTTTTGTTTCATTTTCTGGATTTTGCCACCTTCCCTCCGGCGCAGGAGCATTGATCTTTGTCTTCTCCTGAGCGAAGAGACACATGTGCAGAGATGGAGTGAAACAAGGGAGACGTGCTGAGTTAGTGGATGCTGCACCCTCCCTCCCTGAGCTTCCCCGGCCACAATTGTCACATTTTGTGGGACATTCCTGTCCTGGGGCTGGCTGGGAGAGCAGGCTGAGGTCGGGAGAGCACAGAGAGCTGCTGATCCCTGCAGTCCCCACAAAGCCTTTCCCTTGTGCAGTGCTAAATCAGGGTCACAGACAGGGCTGTGCATGTCCAAACCCACTCCTCCCTCTGCTGCTTTCATTTAAAATAAACCTTTGTCTCTCTGGAGCTGGAGTCTTGTTTTCACCTGATTATTTTCTAGGGTTCTTAAGCATTTGTACATTGGAGGCAAATCCTTACCAGTTTTGGAGTACTATCCCTGGTTTTAGGTCTAAATAAAGAGATGCTTTTAGGGTTTTTCCCCCCCGCCCAGAATCTGTAGCAATTGTCTAATGCTGCCACAAAATGAAAGAAATTTTTTTTGTTTTTTTCTCCTGGGACTTATTCTGTCAACCACCAACTCAAAAAACTTGTTTCTGTGGTGGGAAGAATGTGACTTTGACACGTCATTAAGCACAGGATTTTGTATATAATGTTTGTGGTGAATATTTCTTTTTGAATGCATATTTTTATAATTATTTCCTTGATGCAACAAACTTCAAATACCAGTCAGTTTATCAGCTCCTTCGTGGGAGTTTATATCTTTAGTTTTCAAACCACTGCACAACTATTCATGCACAGAATCCTTGATGCTTTCACTGCAATTGTAATTAATATTTTTAAAGCGATTTTAACTTGCTGATTTAGCAGTGTTGTTTTCTTTATGATCTTGAGGAAAGTAGTAAGAGAAAAAAGACAGAAGGGAGATCCTGTGATCACTGATGCTGTGATAACCCTGGAGAGGGGAGTGAATGAAAGCTCTTCCATGTTACTGCTGTTACTTGCACTGGTGTTTCATAATTTATTTATTTTTTTTCTTACAGTCATTCCATTACGCTTCCCTCAGGGTAAAAAGCAGAAAATGGTCAAAAGGTAACTTCCTTCAGTTAACGTTCTGAAACTAGAAATGAGGCTCCTTCTCTGATAATAAGTGATCTGTAACAAAAGTTCAACTTGATTCAAATATTTCTAAATTTGATAGTAAGCAATAAAGGAAAATACCAAATTAAAATACCTAAAGAAATGTTTTATAGGTATAATACTGCTTGGGTGGGTGGAAAAATTTCCTCTTCCTTAGGAAGAAGGCAAGGACCATCTGTGTGCAAATTGATGAGAATTTGCCTGTGGAACGCTGCAGAGCAAAGGATGGTGGTTTATATTCTCTACATTTCTTCCCTGTTTCACAGCTGTAGGACAAATGCAATTCTTATAGCATCATAAACTTGATTTTTCACAGAAAAAAAAAAAAAAGTCTGATATATTAAGGAAATTTCCTCCAGAGGTTTGGTTTTTTTTTCCAGGAAAATAAATTATACCATATTTATTTAAAACCCTGGTTTTATTAATATTTACAAGGCAATCTAAGCCTTTCCATTAGGATTCATTGAAATAAAACCCAGAAAAAGAAAAACAACCCTATTCCTGGTGCTGTGCCTTTAACAGGATGCTGTAAAGTTAAAATATTGTTGCTCACTTCAAAAAATCATGTAAGCATGTGCATTGTTATGGAAGTGAACAATCTTTGGCTTTTATTGTTTATAAAAACTGGGTTTAAAAATTCCCATAATTTGACAAAGCTTCTGCTGCAAAAGGGAAGATATATGGAAAAAAAATTGTTTGCATCTGCGTAGAGATTGTGTCATACTCTGAGTTCCTGACTGAGGCTAAATAAATACATTTTTACTTTGGAACGGTGCTGTCCATCTTAATCAGAAAATAAATGCAGCCCTTAGAGGAACAAACCCTCTGGAGACTAAATGAAGCCTTGCCTGAACCAAGCCCTTTTCACTGTCCTCACGGGCAAACCCAAATCCCAGGGCGCTGCTGAATTTGGAAATGGCTCACTGCGAATGTGGAGAGGGTTTGGCTGGGAGGGAAATGTTTGAATTACAAATGGAACATTTCTCCCTCGCCCCGTGGTGTTCCCAGGGAGTTCCCTCTCCAGCGTGAGCAGGAGGCGCATCTCCTGCAAGGACCTGGGCCACGGCGACTGCGAGGGCTGGCTCTGGAAGAAAAAGGATGCCAAAGGTTATTTCACCCAGAAATGGAAAAAGTACTGGTTCATTCTGAAGGATTCCTCCTTGTACTGGTACACAAACCAGAATGTAAGTACGGGCCGTGCTTGGAAAAAGTCAAAATGAAACCTTAAGCTTTATCATTCTTTTACTATTTTTATTTTTACTAGTTTTACTGCATGCTCGGATGAAGTGCCACTTTAACTGCCAGGTCTGCGACACTCTGGCTGGAAATATTTCAATTGAAATTCTTTTTTAAAGTCTCCAAGTCCATGTTCAAGCTTAATAAAATAGCAGATGTTCATGGCAGTCTTTAAGAAATGACTATGTCTGTAGTTAATTCTTTTCCACAGATTTATTTGGACTAACACAGTGTTCACACTCAGTTTCAGTTGTGAGGGGGGATGTGTAAAGTGCAACCATTTGTGGTAGTTAAGCATTCTGTGAAGCAGATGTGAAAATCTGAATTTGTAAATCTCTTTATCTAGAAGTTATTTTTATATCGATGTTCCTCTTGCTTTTTGCTGAATTAGTCTGGAGTTTGCAGTTTCTCATGTGTAAAATGCTGTTCTTGGTGAAATTTTCCTGAAAACCAATGGGCCTATGCTGGTGCAATCTGCATAAACGTAGGGAAATAACAGAGGGGAGAAGCCCAAAAATGTTCAGTGATGCTCTTCCATTTGTGTGCAGCAGCCCCAGAGCTTGAGCTGAACTCTGCAGCCTGCTTTGGTTACTGATCTCTTATTCCACCTCTCCAATTTCCTTCCAGAGGAGGTGCTCAGCAGCATAATTCTCCTCAGTTTCTGTGGGTTTTGTAGCCCAAGAGGCTGCTCTGGGTGATCAAGGGATTTGTGGGGTTTGACATTTCCTGTGCCAGGTGGGGGGCACTGGCAGGGTCCCCCCGGCTCTCAGGCTGTGCCCCAAACCAAGCCACAATTCACTGTGCCCTTGCTAACACCTTGCAAAAACCTGCCTGCTGTTAATATGTCCCGCTGCTTTTCCTCCTGAATTGCTTCAAAAGCAGCAAAAAGTGGCAGGATGCATTTCCTGGTTATTTCCTCCCCACTTAATCAGAGGTGACCTCACCAAGGAAGCTCCTCAGGGGCCGTGGTGTGACAACTGTGACTTTCAAGAGAGACATCCACCAAACAGCTGTAAAATGCTGATTTCTGTGAAGAATCTGAGAGCTCTCCTCTGTGTAGGGGCTGTGTTTGGGGCTGAAAGGTTTTCTGTGATCTCCAGCAAAAGGGGTTTGGGATGGCTGTACCTCCTTTGAGAAATTACCAGTTTAGTTACCTCACTGAGGTTATTTACATTGTGTGATGAATTAAATCCATTCCATAGGAAAAACAGTTTGTGAAAAATACATTCAGTATTTCCTTTGACTGGGTAGTTGTTCTTTGTATAAACCCCAAACAGCTGCTGCTCATTTCTCTTTTGTTTAATTCTATATTAATTTTCAACATTTTTTTTTCCTTTCAATAGGATGAAAAAGCAGAAGGATTCATTAGTTTACCTGAATTCAGGATAGACAGAGCAATTGAATGCAGACGAAAACAGTAAGTAATGTGTCAATTACCTTTATAAAGGATTGCCCTTGGAAGTTTGCTGTACATAGTACTGAACACTTGCAAAGTCCAGAGAAGGAAGTTACTGAGAAAAAACCTTGAAAACTGTAAATATAACATCATAGATCCACTTAAGCTTTAGTATTTCTCTTTATTACAAAAGATGCAATGTAATGTAAATTCCATTTACTGAATTAGAATGAATTTAATAACTCTTTAGCCAGCTTGCCAGATAGTCCAGTTACAGCTTCAGTTGAATAAGTAAATCAAAAAGCAATGAATACTTTAATAAAGAGATAAAACTTTCTCAGGTTCAGTAGGGCAGTATTTTCCCATAGGAAATATCATAACAAATATCATAGCAGGGAATGGTGAATATAATCTTAATTTTCTCTTTATGAGGGAAGATTTTCATGCCCAATACTGTGTTGCTCTCAGCTGCTAAAATATTTAGGTTCCATATGCAAAATGAACTCTACATTATTGCTTATGTGCATATTGCTACTGCTACATTCCACTCCACTAAAAAGCATATTATAAGCTTTGCACAATTAAGGAATATTTAATAACAGACACCCATTGGAAACTGCTTCCAAACAGTGTTGAGATTGCAATCAACAGGTTTAACAGAACAATTCCAATGCTTTGAGAGTAGCACTTTGCTGGTACCTCCTGAATTATTTGCATTTCTCTTCTGTATGCTTTCCCACTTTTAACTAAGCATCCTGGATTTTTCCTCTGCTTTTCCAATGACTGAATGCAGTTTTGGTCTGAGGAAACAACTGTGAGCACAGTACAATAGAAATATTGAAGGTATGAATTACAATAGAGACTGCTCATCAGAAAATCAAACCTCTTCAGTTGCCTGTTCTTGTCTGGGGATATTATTACTGTGTCAGGGAAGTACAAGACAGTGCAATTTACACTTCTATTTCTCCTTTCAGCTGAGGGTATCACTGTAGAAATTAAACATGAACTGAGCACTATAAATACCTCAGAGCAATGAGTAGATATTAATAATGATATTGAACAAAAATACAGGAAAAATAATACCCTTTTGTTAGAATATAAAGCACTTAACAGATTTCAGTGAATTAACCAAGATCAAACAGAAGGTCATTGTGCACAGCTAGAAATAGCTTCCAGAGCTTTCCTCAAAGCATGAGAACACAGTCCCTCAGAACTCAGCTTAGAGGAGGATTTCTGTAGGGTATATGCACAGGGAAAAGTCCGATTAACTGAAACGTTGCACACGACTGAAAGCTGAGAACCTCCAGGCTTTGAATCCTTTCAAAAAGAGGCAGGTCCAGAGGTAAAAGTATAATGAAGATGTTCATAGTATATTCCCTTTTTCCCTGAGTTGAATTTCTATTTGCTCTCTTCCTTCATGGACTACCATTCAAGAATTTCCCCCATGACAAGAATTGCACCTTACCCTAGCCACTGCTCTACCTGGAAGTGAGTGCAGTGAAATTCAGAATATTCAGCAAGTGGGAGAGGGGCCCCTGGCTGTGTCCAGCCAGCTCCAACCCACAGCCCCTCTGAGCACAGCTGTAAAACCACTTCCCTGTCCTCTTCTGGGTTGTCCTGCAAGGCTGGGAGTGAGCATCATTCCACTGCCTGATTCCAGTGAAAAGCCAAAAGCACAGTGTCAGTTTCCCTTCAGCTCTCCCCAGTGCAGAACTAAGAACATTTTGGACCTCAGTTTGGATTTCCCCTCAGATCTCTGCTATTTTCAGAGCTATTGATGTGAAATGTTCAAACCCTTCTGAAACTAAAGGATTTGAAGACTTACTGGGATAATTAATGGATTTCTCTCTCCCACTGTTCTGTTGGAGGGGGAGCTCTGCTCCCCAGCCTGGCTGATCCTGATGTCCATGGCTCACAGTGATGGAATAGCCTTAAGAAAGCTTTCACAAGAATACAGATAATTGAAGGCATCACTGGGTATGGTTTGATGATTTGCCTCAGTAATGCATTTAATGAAGGTACCCTGATTATTTCAGGAGCCCTGGCATTATCTCAGGCTGCTCCAGCTCTCCAGGCTATAGCTGGACGTGCAATGACCTTGTCCCCGTGAAAGGAGGAATTCTGCATTGCCACTGAAAAATTTCCCACTGCTTTTAGGCAACACCTGCATCCTCCTGATTAATAGTGATCACAGAGTAGGAGAAATTATAGTTATTTGAGTTTGTGTGCTGTGGCATGACATGAATATCATGTTATTTTCACAGAAACTGATAATTATAATGCCCCATGATGACGCTGATCCCCAAGTATAAAGATTAATTGAGCCACAGGTATAATTAATCCTTATCAACTGGTGCCTTGCCTGAACCTCCAGCAATTTCCACCTAGTGAAAATTTTCATTGCCTAGTTAATGCAAATTTGGGTCTTAAATTCATCAGGGATAGGCCACAGTGTTGGCACTTCATATTGAAAGTGTGCAGTCAGAGCTCCATACAAATGTCATGGTAGCACAGGCAGACATGAAGGTACAGCTTAAATGTTGCTACAGTTTCATAATTTTATTATTTCTGAAAACAACTTGACAGCCTTTGCAGACAGCAAAGCCCCCTTCAGCCACCAGTGGGGCCCCACAGGGAAGAAACTTCTGGGCTGTGTTAACTGGAGTGCAGCCAATGGATGGAGGGAGTATTCTTCAAACTGGCACTCACCACCCCACATCTTGATTATTGCAGCCAGTCTGGGGCCCTCCAAACCAAGCCAAATGTAAATATATAGATATAATTCCTCTAAATTATTCCTATTTATACATCTCAAATTGTTCCTGCGGAGATTGCAGTTCCTAATGCTAGAAATGTATCTAAACACTTCCCTAATAATAATCCCAGTGACACTGCTGGGAGATGGAGATGGATTTATTGTTGTGTTTTGCAGTCCTGACACAGAACTGCAGTACATTTCAATCACAAGTTTGCACAGAACTGGGATCTCCATTTCATAGCAATAAAGATCTCTTTTCTGCAGTCTGCAGATATGTAACAGTGCAATACATTATTGCAGCTTTAACGTTCACTATCTCAGGAGATGATCACAATATCAGGCAGAAAGATCTCAAGGAACATTCATACAGTAACCAATTAGAGCTGTTTGCAGGGACCTGGCATGTGGGAACTCCTTTGCAAAAGCAGCCAGACCTGCAGCATTTACCTGATTTACCCTGACAAATTTCCTGCTCTTTCTGCATTTTATGACACGTTCACAACAGCTGAGCCAGGAGCCTGCAGACAGTGCCTGACCTGTTGCACACTCCTGATTTCACCTCTCTGTGCCTTAACTGAGGCAGGGTTCTGTGAGAATGTAAAATATTCTAATAATCACAGGATCACAGCCTCGTTTGGGTTGGAAAGGACCTTAAAGATCATCCCATTCCACCCCTACCGTGAGCAGGGACACCTTCCACTAGACAATGATCCACTAATCATAGATTTTATCACATGACAGGAGCACAGTGGAGCCAAAGTACACTCTGTTTATCACACTAACTTCCACCCATTAACATTGACATGAAACCCCATCACTGGCATTTGATTGCCTGTATGTATTTAAATTTCCTGTCCAGGAAAATAATCCTATTTACAAGCAGAAACTCCATCATGTGATATTGTCTCAGGATTAGCCAAAAGGATTAGGATCTTTAGATCCAGCACCTAAATCCTCTCCAATCTGAGCCAATCCCACTGGGAGATGGTTGGGCAAGTGGAGCAGGAGAAGGTGCAGATGCTGCAGAGAATTCACACCAACAGTAGAACGATGCAGGAGTGTTTGTTTAGTCAGGATTTTCTATTTTCAGCATCAAAAATGTAGTAGTGTGAGGAATTTCTGTTGGAAGTACAGTATTTGCTAATCTCTGTGTAATTAAAGGTGTGCCATGCTGTAATTCCCAAACACACAAAGCTGTTCCACCTTTCTTACCCACAGCTGTTTGCACAGAACCATTGGAGTTGCTGGTACTCAGCTGGCATGGAGGGATTAAAAAGTTCCACAGCAGAAGTAGAAGACTAAGAATGATAAGAGTTCTTGACACTAAAATCATATCACAGCAATCAGTTAAAAGAAAGCATAAAGTTGATCAGAGCGTACTTAAAACTGCATTTATATAATGATGAAGAGAGATAATTAACAAGCCTGTGCCATCTAGTGGGCACCACGGATCCCTGTGTGGGATTTCAGTCACTCACTGCTTTCATTTGCAAAGTAGCAGTAGCCAGGGCAGTGAGGCTCTGCAGTGGAAATTATCACCGTCCAGATGCCAAAACAACACTTAAATACCTCTACAGCCTCCTTTTATGGAATTTAATATTTAATGATAACCCTCTGTGCAAAGATAACCTTACCCTTTATATCCCTAATCTCATGAAAACAGAAACTGCACAGAAATTCAGAAATCTGTTGGAGGGCTTTTGTTAGGAAAGCTGTTGCTGGATGCAATTAATTTGTATTAATTATAAAAAATTATAAAAATTATAAAAAATTTGTATTAATTATATATGTATAAATAATCATAATTAAAAAATCACTGTGTCCAGGTGAAGCTTCTTCAGCTTTCATCTTGTCTTTGAAAACTGCAATAAGTCATCGTAATTAATAAAACACTCATTTGCATTTAAGCTATTAATAGTGGAAACATTGCATCACAGGTTCTTCATAATTCCACGTGTAATGATTCCTAATCTAATTCTTACATCTGGTAATTACCATATAAATGTCATATTTTAACATAAATGTTATGAATGATAGTGTGGCATTTTTTTAACATTTGCCAGCTAATCAAATTAATAATCTTTAATGCTGGGACCTTCTGGTTTCCTTGATAGCAAAACTCCTTTTCATTATACTCACATAAAAAATTTGTAAAAACTGTGATTATTGTTCTTAGCAGTTTTCAACTGCTCAGCTGAGGGAGAGCTCAGGGGTTAGACCACATAAAAGCATTAACAAAAAGCATTTTATGTGAACTATAATCACCCATGCCATCTGATTATTATCTATTATTCCAGTGATTTCTAGCTCGAGTTGGCACCCCTCTGCATTTCTTTTTGTAGAACATAAAGCTGTCATCAAATACATGAGAAGAGGTGGGGGGATCAAACATTTATTGCTTTAGTTGATCTTTGGAATACAACTAAGATGTACTTGAATATACTCAATAAGACTTTCAAATTCACCCAAGAATTTTTTAGATGTACAACATCAGTGGTTATCAAAAGGAATTATATTTTTAAGTAATTCAAGTGCTTTTGAAATTTTTGCAAAGTATGAGGCTCACAAACCTAGACGAAATCAGATTGGGGGAATCCATCGATAAATTTAGACAGCAAAATTCAGACTGAAGATGAAAAACGCCTATGAAAGCTGTAACATGCTGAAGAATTACAGAGCAGGACAGTCTGGTGTATTTGTAGACAAGATGTTTGAAAGAAAAGGTGGTTTTTATTCTTTGTGCTCTTTTTATAGTGCCTTCAAAGCATGTCACCCCAAAATAAAGAGCTTCTACTTCGCAACCGACTGCCTTGAAGAGATGAACAGGTGAGTTGTGTGTCCCCTTTGTTGTGGGATGTTCTTTATCCTGGTGCTTCAGTATTTCATCTCTCACAGAATATCCTCCTGGAGCCTGATGGAATGCTGGCTCATGGTGTTCTCAGGAATTAGTTTTCCATTAATTCCAGTAAATACATTACATTCTGTGGCTCACTTCACTGACATTTCCTGCCACGACATGTCTTAGCTCTGCAAAGGGAAGTTCCTTGTGTTGGTCTCATCTCTGTTAATTAGAATTTCTTCTGTTGTTGATGGGCTTATGTTCATCACCCTTGTGATGTTTTGTAGGTAAAGGATGGAAGTCTAAGTGGGATCAGTGTTTCTGGTATATCAAACACTGCAGCCACAACAAAGCTCATACAGAGTACACCCAGGTGGTGGGGGGGGTGTGTATATATAAAATATATATATAAATATATATATATATATATATATATATGTATATTCCCCTTCCAGTGCCAAGAACAACCCCCAACAACATAGAAAATCAGCAGTAATTAATTTTATTCACCACATCACTGTCCCAACACAGAGCAGAGGCAAGCAAAATTCCATTTTTGGTGTTGTAGTGAGTTTTAAATGTCCTTGGATGTGCTGGGGGGACATTCCAAACTTCTGACTGGACAAGGCACTGGACAACCTGATCCAACATTAAAGCTGGCCTGCTGTGGGTGGCTGTGGGAACAGGCACCTCCTGGGAGCTCTTCTAGCCCAAATTACTCCGTGCTTCTCCTTTGTGATTCAGTGGTGAAGGCCAAGGTTGGATGGAGGTGGGACAGGGTGTCAGTTCCCAAAAGGCAGAGTCAGATGTCCTCCTTCCTCCTGGTACCTCAGAAATTTGTTTATTCCCAGCTGAGGTGGAAAGCACAAGGACACCTGGGACAAGGTCACCATCCTGGGAAGTCTTAAATCTGTCCTGGCACAGATAACTGACACTTTGAGATGTTCTTACTTACACTTTGAGTTGTTCTTAATGTTTGCCAGCTTGGGAAGACAGATACGGATGGGGTTTTTCCTTTGGAATATTAAGGCCTAAAAACCATTTATTTAAAAACTGAATATTTATATTCTGGTCTTACATGGCTTTTCAGGTATGCTGGGCTGTGAGCCTGGCTGGGGTGAAACTGTGGAGGCCTGCTCATCCTGCACAGAGGAGGGTGATGAGCCTCAATTATCAGGAGTGGGATACTTTCAGGGTATAAGTTTGCTGAAAAAATTTTTTTCAAGGCTGTTAATGTTCAACTGCCCAGTTCTGTGGTGTGGTTCAGGTTTGTCTGGACAAAACCCAAGTGAGGATGTTTTACTGGTTTAACTCTGCCTGGTCTCTCTTGATTTCAGCTGCTGGGGTAGCTCTCATTTGTTGAAGTGCCATTGATCATATCTATAAATTATACATAAAATGTTCTGACTCCAGGAAAACCAGGAAGTCTTGACATACATTCAATGAGCTGCTTTTACAACATCATTGATTTTCCCATGGGGGCCCAGGAAGCTGCAATGAGGCCTTGGAGCACAGGAGCAGCTGGGAAGGTGCCAGCGTGTCCTTCCATGCCACACCATCCTTCACATCATTTACTTTGGAATTTACAAGAGCCTTTTCCCTGAATTTTTGGGAAGCAGGCAAAGGGTGAACTTCTACTTGAAGTATTTTGTGCAGTATTTTCCCTTCAGCAGTTCTGTCCCTGCAGAGCAATTGGAATTCACTCCCCAGCCCAATGATGGATAACTCTGCTCCCTCTGTAACATCCCTGGGCACCCCTGCAGCTCTTCCAGCCTTCCTGGAATTCCTCCTCCCAGAGATCCTGGGTGAAATATGAAATGAGGAAGCAAGATTCATAGATGAAAAAATGTGTTTAAAATACTGATTCCACAAATCTCTCTCTTCCCTGTGAATTGCTAGCCTCATAATGTGAGGAAACAGAGCAAATATTTTACGAGGTATCTCTCACTCCTGTTTGCAGCACAGAATTTTAGTGGATTTTCCCTGCTGATGGAAAGGGGGATCCCTCATGCTGAAAAGTGAAGGAGCCCTGGCATGGAGAGGAACATTCCTTATTCACTATGAGGGGAATTTTATCCTTTCTTCAACTGCCTTGACCACCAGCTTTTGTTGTAACAGCTCTTTTTAGAGTTTCTCACCCCAGATTCACTGTTTATTAATTTTTTTTCCACTCTGGAATATTTTCCTGTGCCTTTAACCCCACACTGCTGAAGGAAGAGCTGGACCCCAGCGAGTGGGGCTGGATTATTCTGTAGCAGACCGAGGCACTCAGCTGTGGCTGAGCTTTGCCTGCTGTGTTACTTGGGTTTGCAAAATTCATGCTCGTGCTGTTTTGTCAGGTCTTACACGAGCAGAGCCGTGTTCTTAGAAATGAATTAATAATGAACTTGATGAGCTCATCTCTAGCTTGCTGCTCCAAGCTTGTTAAAGGCCTTATTTCCCAGAAGTGCTTCATCTCCTACCACACCACACATAACCTGTTTATGGCTTTAATTAGCATTGAATTTAATATTCGGTTGTTTTACAATATCTATGTTATTTAAAACTTACATGCCATTGAAATGCAGGGCAGTGCATTTGCAGTCTCATCATGGACTCCAAATATTAATTTTTTTAAAGTTTCTATTTTAGGCTGAATAATTTGATCACTTTTGATTTGAATAACTGGGTTAACTTTGCAATTTTAATAACTCCCATAAATCTTTGGCATTCATTCAAGAAATATAACAAATAGTTGCTACTGAAACAGAATGATGATTGATTTTTGTAGGGCTCACTCCTATATTTTCCAAGACCTGTTTGGAAAAATATTTCTCTTAAAAAAGAACGGTTTGAAAATTGAAGTATTCTGAATTAAGCAAATGTTATGGTATCTCCTATCTACTTTTACATATGGAGTATAACCAAGTGAGTTAGTCAAGGCTTTCCCTAAATCATCCTGTTTATTACTAAAGTTAATTCCGTTTTCTTCCTTAAATTTCAGGCATGTTGGTCTCTTTGGCAGGTCTTGGCCCAATCAGATGGTGAGCCAGGATTAACACATCTTTTCCAGTTTCAATGCACTTAGTCTTCACTTTATATAAACTGGCACCCAAGTAAAGCTCTTGGCAACTAAAAGTTTCAGCTCTTAGACATTTTCCCCCTTAAACTGGACAAGTGAGCAGGAGATTGTCAGATCTGTCTGGCCTAATTCACCAGCTCTTTATCAAATAGAGCTGAGTAAATTGTTACAGAGCTCTTACTCTCAGCCCCTTACTTGCTGAAAAGCCAGGAGATAATGCTGCAGAACATGAAAGGTACTTTTCAAACAGAAATCCCTGGAATGGAGCTTCCCAATGGTGTTGTAAATAATCATAAAGAGCAGGTTTTCCTTTCTTCCTTTTATGTTCACATAAACTTGTTTCAAATCCATGCCCGAGGCCACGCCAGCCCTCTAATTTATTGTTCTCACATAAAAGCTCCTTAAGTGCAGCACAAGTAAAACAATTTTCTGATCAGAATCAGCTGCAGGCCCCAAGGACTGGGTGAAACCATGGGAGTGCACAGGGTGACAGTGGAGCTGCTGCGCCCTGTTGGGGCAAAATACTGCACCAGGAATTCCCAGCACTGAGCTGGAATATTCCAAACCTCCTTTCCTGGGCAAGTCACCTGGCTCCTGCTTTCTGCAGTTTCTGAATGATTTGCCCTAGACTTGTGAAGTTCCATTTCCCCCTCACTCCATCCCAGCCCCAGTGGCTGATGGAGTTTGCAGTGCACAATTGGGATTTTCCAGCACCACCCAAATCAGGGCTGGGCGAGTTCATCCCTCGTGCAGGAGGCAGGCTCTGCCCTGGCTTTCTGCCCCAGCATAAATTACAAAATTAACTTCATCAAATACTGCTGCAAACAGTACCAGTGTGAATTGATAGAGTTCTTCTGGGAGCCAAGCACTGTAGCTGCATTTCATAGAGCAGATTTAGTGATTCCAGCCCTGCACCTCTCTGAGCTGAAGGCGGCGTCACAGCCAAGTCATAATTGTGACCTTAGGCTGGAGATACTGAGGTAACTCTGCCAAATCTGAAGATTTAGTAATAGAAATAAGTAATAGAAATAAGAAATTTCATCATAATGAATTAGCCAGACATTTAACAGTGTTATTTGGCCTATTTGAGCTGAGTTTTTAGAAACTATGTAGAAGCAGATTACAAAATTTTACAAGTAAATCATCCCATTTCTTTAAAAACTTCACCTCTAAACCCCAAACCCCTACCCATAGTTTATGCCATGCTAAGTTCAGTTGTCTTGCTTGTAAACAAAGCTTTCTTTCTCCAGAGCTTTCCTTTGGGCCAATCATTTGGTGAAAGGTGGGGCAAAAGTTTGAGTAAGTAAAGAGAAGTTCCAGTTGAGGGAGTTTTTGTGACTGTCTTGGTGATTTCTTTAGCGTTTATTATTGGTTCTGGATCAAATAGCCTATCAGTTATTGTGTGCTTTTATTTTCTGTGATACACAATTATATCTGTACAGTAAAATGCTGGTACCAGAAAGGTAATTTATTTGCTACAAAGCAGTGAATTTCTTTTGACAATTACCCACTGGGGAAAACAAAAAACAAACCAAAAAAAACCACCCACACCAAACCAGACTTCTGAGTACAGAGACAAAATTGTGCATTTGTTTGACAGAGGAAAGTTAAAAAAATTAAAAATAAAAAAAAAATCCCATTAAGTGCATGAAGCAGATGCACATGCAAGGAGGGCACAGATTGGTTCACTTGTCAATTCTTAAGCTGTCTCAGGCTTTTTTCCTATTTTTCCAGCCTGACAAATCTAAGAAGACAATGCATGAAACAAGATCAACAGTCATGTCAAATTATCAAATCTGAGAGTACTCAGAGTTTATCCCGTGAATGATTTTGCTTAACAAATCCCAGCAAGTGTGACAAATCCAAAGCAGAGACAGAGCTGTGGGGCTGGTACAGGCAGGGATGAGCTCATGCAGCAGGATCTGCTCAGGGTCACATTTCACCAGGAGAGGCTCTGGGGCTCCTTTTGTGTGGAGGAAAATCAAGGCAGCATTTCAGCCACTCCTATTACAGCACCCTTTATTCTCTTAAATGCATGTATTACCTGCATAATCATAGAAAATAGGGAAAATAATGTACCTTAGGAAGCCAAATGGGAAATGCACTGATTTTTCAGGTGTTCAGTAAGAAAGACTGGTGAGAGAAGTCTACATAACAAGCAAAAAAATCGATTTTTAAATTTAATTGTGAATTGCAAAGAATTTTACTGTGAATTCTGGAATCTGATTATCCCAGTGATGTAAAAAAAAATAATACAAAGCTTTTGATCAGAAATTAAGTGTAAACTTCACTGAATAAATTCTATGTATGAGATAAATGGTTCAAGGGAATCTTTAATGGACTTAAAGATAACTTGATTTAAGAGAAATTGAACTTCTACTTAGTGCTAGTTTTTCCTTTTAACCAAATAATCTCAAATGTAGATGCAATCTCAAAAATGAAAAAAATATTTCTGCACTGAAATATTTCTAACACAAAGCTGAGGTGGGGTACAAGGGCAAGAATTAATAATGAAAAGACGCAAGGAAGATAGGAAGTATATTTTATTTATTTTTTCTGTTAATGTGTCAGGATTTCATAGACGTCATTTTTAAAGGAGCATTTATCAGAGAGAAATAATGAAAGTAGTTGGACTTTTTCTTGAATTTGCACCTTTTCAGGATGTATAATTTTTTACATATTCATTTGAATTAAATAGCTTTTTCTAAAACCAGCCACCTGGTATGTGCAATAAGTGAGGATATTAGCAAATCAAACTTTTCTGAGCCACAGAATTTCACTTCTTCTCCATGGGTTTATGAAGTAGTTGTAACTTTAACCTAAAAATTGTAACTTTTCACCCCTTTTTTGTAGGAAGATTAAAAAAGTTATCCTCTTCCCTTTGTTTTCATTCTCCTACACTAAGCAAAATAGTTCTCTCCAATTGGACAACTGAGATTGTCCAAGCTGTTTTAATTTTTTATTTGTGATTTTTCACTCTGGATCTGTAGAAAGGAGCAGCCAAGGGGGTGAGTGTGATCCACTGTGGAAACTCTCATTGCCTTCACTCCCAGAACCTCCCACTGCCCTAGGGCTGGCTCAGCAGAGTAAACTGTGAAAGCCAGGAAACAGAAATTCATTAATTTGTACATTGAGGAGTGGCATATTCTTGTTTCCAACAGTGTTAGGGGAGCAAGGCAATGTGCAATTGTTCCCAGTTGTTTGGCCCCCTTTAACATTTCCCAGTGTTTCTGTCGGTAGCTGAATGTGCTCCTGGTGTGTTTGGGGTGTTTTAGGGTGATTCACTCCTCAGTCTCAGGCTGTGACAGCTCCTCACTGCCCTGGTGCCTTCGCTCAGCACAGCCCAGGCCTGGGGAAGAATCAGACTCTCAGACTCTCAGACGGGCTGTAATCCCTGGGTAATAACCAGAATTATCTCAGTAAATTTAACTTAAATACTACCAGGCAGCTCTATTTTATCCCAAAGCAATGACAACAGTGCCTGTTTGTAACCAACAAAATTAATTACAACCAAGCCTGATTTATTTAGAATTTAACTGAGACAAAGTACAAAATTTACTCGTGCATTTTGATGACTTTACCGGAGGCGCATCTTTCCCTGCCTTTGGTTCACTGGAGCACAGGCAATAAAAAACAACCCACTTCTTGGTTCCCTGTAGGTTGTTACAGGGTAAGTGATTGTGTCTTATGGGGATTTTACAATCCTGGAGGTAAAGAGTTGTGGCAGAGGATCCATGGGACATTTAGTGCTGTTCTGTCATCACAATTTCCATCCAGAATGCAAACCCCCTGCTCTGTTGGGTGGCCTAGACTCAGTGAAGCATCCTGGTTAAGTTGTTTAATTACCAACAGGGAAGAGTTGTTGAAGTTATCCAGGTAAAAAGGCAGGATTTGGGGTGAGGGAGCCCAGCCTGGGGTGCACTGACATCCCAAAGGTGCCCCTTAGGGCAGCCCAGGCCTCCTCGTGGCCACAGGGAAAACCCAGAGCAGGTGGGGCACAGCTCCAGAACCCCAACCAGCACTCCAGCCCTGGGGCTGTGCTGGCAGCTGCAGCACTCAGACCCTCCATGGGATGTGCATCCTCCATCCCTCGGGAGCCAGCTCCGACAGGAGCTCCCAGCACCAGCTGGAACCCAACCTTTGCCCACAGGGCACCTGGGACAGAGTTCAGAACCAACTGCCTGCCTTTCCAGGCTCTCCACAAAGAGCTTTTTATAACCTTGAAAAACCTGCAGTTTTCTGAAAAATGAAAGTGGTTTGCTCATCAAGGAAATTCATCAAGTTTATGCAGGGTTCCTTTCGAACTGAGTTTGCATTTCCTTGGGAAAAAAAATTAACTGTAAGAAAATGAGCTGTAATCTCACCACTTGTATATCTCCTGATTAACCTCAAAAACATTCACTCATGCTTTTCTTAAAAGCACAAAACCTAAAATGGAGATTCTAGTTCTTTTATCCAAAGAGATTTTATCATGATAAGCTACTGAATGTCATCAGATAACCCTTTATGTTGCCTTGACCAAGAGCTGACTGAATTGTGGTAAATGAGGTAAGAAAGTCCTTGTAACTCTAGCTGGGGATGATCTTGGCCTTTGGAAGAGAAAAGCCTGAGCAGCCTTAGAGAAGGAAGATTAACTTCAGCTAATTCCAGATTTGGCCATTGAGGCCACATGCATAAAGCTGATACTCTGGGTATCCTCAGAGCATCCCTGGCTCTGGGAGGTTAATCCTAACACTTCAGCTGGTGTCTCTATTTGATTCCAAGATCTGACACCCTCAAATTAACAATGAGCAACAAAAGAAATTTTGCAAGAAATTTAAGACAATATAAATTTCCATGCACTGACCACAGAAATAGCTGAGTCTGTTTTAACTTGGAAAACGGTAATTAGTCCTAATTTATCATTGGTGCTTAGGCAGAACCTCAGTTGAAGGCACTGAGCCATCCTGCTTAATTGCCAAAGGCATATGGCAAAGTATGACTAAAACTATTTTGCTCCAGTGCTAATGAGTTCAGAAACTCGGGAACAACTGATGAAAAACTGGTGAATAGAAATGCCTGCTAACGAGCAGGGAGTGATGTCACTGCCATTCCTGCAGTGAAGGATCTGCCCTGCAAGGGAAGCAAACGCCAGGCAATGCAGGCACCGTGTGCTGAGGGAAATGATGCTGCAGAGCACTGTGCAAAAGCTCTTCTGTAAATCTGTTAATCCATTTTAAATGTACTTCCCTCATGATAAAGATGAGTTATTGATGTGTTGATGCAAACAACGGCTGTAAGCAGTGCTAAGCCTGCAGTTGGTATTTGGGAAAACTAATCATCATTTCCATTTTCATCTCCAATTTGCTGACTTCTGGCTTAATACTGAGAGGCAAAGCAATATGATTGTACAGTTCTTTATTTTCATAGTTTTGCAAGTAAATTAAACCCTCTCACAATTCCCTGTAAGAAGTGGACATTGCTGTCCCCTTTGGCCACTTAGGAAAGCCACAAGATGCGGGCAGGCTGTGTGCAGGCCGGGCAGTGAGTCAGGCTGTATCAATATCTGAGATGGGGATCATTGCTGGGAGCCTCTGCGGAGCTGCTGGGAGCAGGGGATCGATACGTGCTGAACTCTGAGCTATTTTTAGTGGAGAGTTCACTCTTCCTTCATTTTCTGCCTCCTTGCTGTGCCTCCCATCTCCCACACACTCCTGGACAATAACAGTCACACACATCCTTAAAAGCTTTTTTTCTTCCCTAGTACAAGTGGGAAAGAATGACACTGAAGAGTTTTCTTGTTGTAATCTGCAAAACAACTCGTGCTTTTGATATTGCATGTACTGTTCACTAATGTCTGACTTGAGGCCTGTGAAAGATGGCTTTGTCATAATATTCATTAACCAAGAAGATAATTATTAACAAATTTGATGTTGCAAATGTTCAAAAAGGAAAAAAGAGCTGCTTCTAGATAAACTCTCACATCAATTTTCTGGGAAATTAATTAGATAATTAAGAATTTAGTCACTGAGGAAGGGAATGGTTCAAAACATCCCAGGCATTATAGATGTCACTATTAGGGCTTTTTTCTTTGGTTATATCTCCTTGTCGATGAAAATAAGATAGTTCTTGATTTTCCATTTGCTGAACACTAAGAAGTGACTTTTCCCTCTGCGTGTTCATTTCCTTTTTTCCTTAGTTTTTCAATTATATGTTGTATAAACATCCACTCATCTTGCCAAGAAAACTCAAAAGGTATTTTCCTCAAGATTAACTATAATATTTCCATAAGGAAGTAAAGAATCTTATTTCCTATCAAACGAAATAATTTGAGGACAAAGAAAGAAACCAGCACATCCAATGGAAAGTGAAAATATTGAAGCACTTGCAGTTTACCAGGACTTTAGAAACCCAGAAGTCTGTATTAAAGAAATTAAGGGAAAATAATGCTGATATAACAGCTCAACAACACTAAGTGTTCATATCTCCAGCATTGTGAATCCAGACTAGCAAATAACCAAACTGCCACAGGCTGTTTTAGCTTTCTGAGGATATGAGTCTAATACAACTCATTTCCCAACACAGGTTTTCAGGCAATAATTATCACAATTCTATTTTATTTTCTAGTATTTCGGCAATTCAGGCAAGTTCTTGAAATAAATAGCAATAGAATAAATAGAATAAATGTGATAGATCCTTCACTCCCAGTTAACCACCCAGTATATCTGAATTGTGGGTCTAACAGCCTTTTTGTTTAGGTGTTGTGTCTGACTTTTCCAGATGTTAAGGATGTGGATGCCTTCAGATTTACATGAGATGCTCCTTTTAAATACCTCTCTTCCTCATTTTTCTCGTTCTGTTAGATGGATGAATCGTTTGGGTCTCGCAGCAATTGGTTACACACCTGATGACAAGGATATTCACCCAGATGAAGGTAATGCTTCAGTGATTATAATTAGGAGAAGAGAGCACACAGTACAAATCTGTTCAGTATTTCAATAAAGCTGGAGGGGTCGTAACTGACTTCTTTACCGACATATGGCCATATCTTTCCAAATATCTATTTTGATAAGAATACATTTCCTCGAAGAACTACATTTATTGGTGCTACCACCAAAGAAAATAAAATCCTGAGCAGTAATTTTAAGAAATAAAATCAGTGATAAAGAGAATGCGGGGTTCAGGGTGAGGTGTGATCTCCCAGATCCCAGCCCTCAGGGATGTTCACCCCGTAAAACCATCGCAGACTTTGGGCAATGTGCTTCAGCAATATTTGTTTGCACCTCCTGAGCTCAGGTGCCAGCCTTGTCCTCTCCCCATCACCCACACTGGAACCTGTAATGCCCAGTTAAATTAAGTGTTCAGGCTTGGCTCTACTTCAGCATCTGGAATGAGGTTTCTGTGTGAAAGTCCATGAGCAGAAGTTGGTTTTTATGTGCAGTGGCAGTCAGGTGCCTGAGCTGCCTTCTGTAACCCTTCCCCAAAGCACTCAGAGCTTCCTGCACTCCCTGTTTGAGGGGCCAGACCTTCCCACCAGCCCCTTCCTGAGCAGCTGCCGAGCCCTGCAGGGGACTGGGGAACGTTTACCTTGCCCTGGAAGGACGTTGCTAAAATGTGGGATCTGCTTTCTGGTGGAGAAGCACCCGAGTGAGACCTGGAATGCTTTGTCAGCAGATTACTGGAGCGAGAGCGACCAGGACGACATCGATGGCTCCCTGACGCTGAAGCAGGAGGGCTCCTCCGCGCTGTGTGACACCTACCACCGCACCCCCTCAGTGAGTCACACACTCTGCATGTGCCCAAGGTCACCAAAAACACCTCTGGGCCTTCACTTGCGCTTCCCTGGTCCTGGGATGTTTAAACAACATAAAGGCGGCGGAACAAAGCCGGATGTGATTGTAAAAATGAAATTACTGCTGCTCCTCGTGAGCCAAGAGCAGGATTTTTCCATAGCAAATCAGTTAGGAAGAAAGGAGAGGTAAATGTCTCCTGACACAGATCTGTCACCAGACCATGACCTTTTTTTGTAGGATTGGTAAAACTACACATCATAACAGGAACAGAATATTAAAATTTTACCTTCACTGAAGAATGTGAAAAGAATGTGATGGATGGGATAGTTTGTATTAATTGAGACTAGTTTTCAGTTATTAATATTGGATACTGGATGCTAGAGATTAAGATCAGCTCACATTCACCCAGTAATCATGTTTTAGTTCTTTTTTGAAGAACAAATCTTTCTAGGAAAGGGGTTTTTTTGTACAATACCATGGTAATGACAGTATTGCAAATAGAACATTACTATTAGACAAAACACAGGCAATTATGATAATTATTCTATGATTCCAAGCACAGATAGGACTGTTCTCTATTTTTCTTTCAGATTTTTCTTCAGCGTGAATGACATGATCCTCACACAGCCAGAACCAAAGAAAGAGTGACTGAGACAACAGCATCACATGGGTGAAGCTCAGACTGATTTTCACCCATGTGATGCTGTTTTATCAACTGGGATACAGGTTAAGCCCCTCCCTTTCTGTTTTTCCACATTTTTGCCTTTCTCTTTGTTTTGAATTAAATTTATACACAGACCCAGAGAATTCACTCAAATAGTTTCACAAGTTCAACAGTCCCCCAGCCAAAAATCTTCCTGGGTGCTGAAGCTTTTGTTGTTTGGGTTTGTTTTTTGGTTTTTTTCTGTTTGGCCCCTAAAAAAAAAAAGAAAGGAAATCCGATTATGGTTTCTTTTGGAGACTTCCACTGTCCTCAGCTGCACTGAGTGTAAGCTGGATGGGTCTTCAGGAAACCTGCACCAGTGTTACACTTTTCTTTCCATCAGGAATTGCTTGTGGGCAGAGAATGTGCAAAACAAGAATAGGGAGTGGTTAAAAGAGCACTTGTATAAAAGTTGTCACTGCTAATTCTCTTCTGTTTACAGTGGTTCATGTTATGACAAATCCAACCCATGAGTCCATCTGATTACTAGATATAGAGCGTTTTACACTGCAGTCATTTCCTTGGGTCTGTTCAAAGCATCATCTCATGGGCAGATGTTTTTGTATTTTTCCAGGTGAATTCTTCAAGTCCATTCCCTGAAGCCAAACAAGGCCGACACTTTTCCAGCGAATCCACGCATTCCCACTCTTCTGCCGAGGACTCGCGGCAGGACGCGGCGGGCAGCACGCACTCCTCGGGGTGCAGGCCTCCCTACCGAGAACGGCGCTCGTGGCAGGACCTGATAGAGACTCCCTTAACCAGCTCAGGGCTCCATTTCCTCCAGACCGTCCCTCCGGAGGCGGAGTACGCGAGCGGCCGGCCCGGAATGTCACCGGACAAACGGAGACAAGCCACGCTGCCCGTCCAGAGGCGCCACAATTTTGAGCAGGATGGGCCTTTTCCTCTGGTGGAATGTCCGAGGGGACACAGCTCCCACGGGCGGCCCCAGAAACCACGCAGCCAAAGCCTTCCCCGAAACAGAGACGTCCGCGGGAAGGGACGCGTGAAGTCCATTGAGGGGACCGACGACAGTCCGGATGAGAAGGTTCCTCTTAGAAGGCACAATAGTTTCTGTGGAGAAGGTAAGCTCTGGGAGATTTCTGCTCCACTTTACTGCCATCAAAATCCAGAGCAGTATTGCCGCTGTTCTCAGTGAGGATTTTGTGGTTGAACTGCTGGATGTTGGCAAACGCAGGAGTTTGTACTTGAAATGCCAGGATGTAGTGCTAAAAATTGAGTTTTGGGATGATGTTCTTGTCTCATCAAAACTAACACTGCAGAACTGAGTAATCGGTTAATGTAGTACTGAAGTTGCAGTATTGCTGATTTTAGAGACTTCAACAGAATGATCAGGTTTGTTGTTAGGGTTCTTTCTTTCCTTTCAGAAAACGTAAGAGAAATTGAAGAAATCACAGATGGTCTGCAAGAGCTCTACAGAACTCTGGAAGAAGCCAGTCTGTCAGCTTTCGGAGAGCAGCGTCCCTCCACCAAGCAGGAGTTCCGCAAGTCCTTCGTGAAGCGATGCAATGACCCAGTGATCAACGAGAAGCTGCACCACATCCGAGTCCTCAAGAGCACTTTAAAAGTAAGGCTTTATCCCTGATTTTGTGTGCAAGGAATATAAAGTAGGAAAAGTCTAATTGTGCATCGCAGAATGCTGGTGGGTTGAAGGGACCTTAAAGCTCATCCAGTGCCACCCCTGCCATGGCAGGGACACCTTCCACTATCCCAGGGTGCTCCAAACCCCTTCCACCCTGGCCTTAGACACTTTCAGGGATCCAGGGGCAGCCACAGCTTCTCTGGGCATCTGTGCCAGGGCCTGCCCACCCTCACAGCCAGGAATTCCTTCCCAACATCCCAGCTAACCCTGCCCTCTGGCAGTGTGAAGTCATTCCCCCTTGTCCTTAATATCTTTATGTTTCTACTGTTAATGCTTTTTTTGTAGCTTTAAAATGAAGTTTCAAAGAAACTAAAAATCCTTTAAAGCAAATATGTTCCATCTTAAGGGGAAAACGGGATTATTTGGCACTCCGTATGGGCAAATTGTAGCAGGTGGCACAGACAGCTGTCAAAAATCTATGCTGTAATAGTTCCTGAATTTAGGTAAATATTAAAGTTTCCATAGTAGTTTTCCTGGCACTTGGCATTAAAGAAGAAATAAAGTGCTGAAATACCAAATTTCATTTTGACCTATCCTCTGTGTTTCTGGAATTTGCCAGGCAAAGGAAGGGGACCTCACAGTAATCAACAGCCTTCTGGATGATCCCAACTTAACATCCAAGAAGTTCAAAGATTGGAAATTAAAGAACTATGAGTTTTTCCTGGACATTTGTGAGTACAGTGCTGCTGGGAAGTCTCAAAACGGAGCCTCTGAACTGGCAAGCTCAGCCCCAATGCTGACACACACACACTCCTTCATCGAGACTCACGTGTGACAGGAGCCTGGGTCACTGCTGGGTGCCTGACACATGCAGTCAGACAAACCCTGGTGAATTTACCGCTGAGGTACTCAGCAGTACTGTAAATACTTGGGTAAGAGAATAGTGCCACAGGATGCCTACTACATTGCATGATAAGACAGTAATATTCTTTATGAATTTTTTTGTTTGCTATTATCAACCGATGTCCGTATCAAGCTCTGCATTAGGAAGAAGCGGTGCAGAAGTGTAACTGAAAATAAATACCAGTATATTTGAAGTACTGTACTAAAACTCAGCTTATAGTATGAGCTCCTGCAATCATTTTATATATTTAGATATATATAAATACATATCTATGTATATAAAATGTAACATGGTAGTTGACATTTCCTTTTAAAATTCCCTAAAGTTCACATTTTCACACATTTTTTCTTGAGAAAAAATATAAAAATGAAGACATGAATACATTGGCCACTCTTAGAGAGGAACATTTATTTTTGCAACATTTCCAGGTAGTGACCATCTTTGCAAATAAAAGGACAGATTTATCAAAATGTAAACTCAATCCCTATAGTGTGCCTTAAAATGTACACTGTACATCTAAGAAATAGATCCCAGTCTGGCCCTATGGGCACTCTGTACATGCCATTTAAATACTGTGTTTGTAACGTGCTGTGCCTGCCTTTAAACAAAGGAACACGAGCACGCAGGTTTGGCACAGAGGTAAGATATGAGTAGAACAATATTGGTTGTTCACTAATGCTGCAACTTCAACAGGTTTTAATAGGATTTGAAGTTTTTCATGGTGAAAGAAAAAAATCTGCACTGAGTAAGGTACATACTGCAGGTTTTCATCGTTTCTTCACTGTGAATTTAAGTGACACATGACTGTGAGTCACAAAATTCAAAAAAAGCATGAGAATGAAGCTTAAAAAACCTCCTGAACTAATCAATTACATTCTGTGATACACTGACATCTATAGCTGAGTTAATAATTCAAAATTATGTAATGTCTGGCAATAATTTTTAACTGCTAGCAGTACATTTGCAAGTGGGTGAAGTTATTCAAAACATCGTTCAAAAACCAATCAGTATTGATTGGTTTGGGAAGACACACAAGTCACGCAGTGGATTTCACTTCCTTGCTTGGGTGAGAGTGGTTGGTAAGAATCAGATTTTGGGGAAAATACTTGTATTCTTGGGGGGAAAAAAGATTGCTCTGAATGCTACTGAACATAGATTTCAAAGCCATTCACGGTTTGCTTTGACTCTGCTTGCTAGAATAGTTCTAAAAGGCAGAAGAAAGGGGATGTGAATACAGCTGATGTCATTTCACTGAAACAGATTTCACTGAAACAAATTCACTGATCATTTTTTCACAAGATAAACCTGATTGTCTCTCATCCATCAAGGACTGTAAAATTAATGCAGTTCAGTATAATAGAGGAAAAAATGTTATCTCAGTGAGGTCCTAGTATCCAGGAAGAGATTTCATTATTCCCAAAGCCAGACCAGGTGAAGGTGTCCTGGGTGTTTAGTTCTGTCTCCACAGAGCAGCTGAGGGGGGCTGACCTTGGCTGTACAGGAGGGCAAGAATGCCATGGGAAAGCTCCTGGTTTGAGACAAAGACAGGGAGATCACCTGCTGTTGGTTACTGTAGGCAAAACAAACCTGACTTGGGGAAAATTCATTTATTAACAATTTAAAATACAATTGCATAGTGAGAAACGAAGACAAAATTAAAAACACCTTTTGTTTGCCTCCTCCCTTCTTTCCAGTCTTAATTTCATTCCTTCATTTGCAGTGAGCAACAGCGTAAATTATAGAATCCATTTAAAAATTAATTCATAATATACATGCAAGCAGTGATGGATGGTCACAAAAATTGTATATAGATTGAACTATCTAAATTCCTAAAGAAATGTAAAGATGCCTATTGTTTCAAACCCAAAAGATGGTTTGTGCTTTCATAATGAAAAGATCTATATTATTTCCAAATAGCTTTCTAAAAGGATTTCAAATGCCACTGCTTCATCACTCAAGACATAACTGAGCATATTCAGTGAAGTCACAAGTAAACAGAGAATACTGCTTAGAGATACAGCTGAAAATGAGAAACATAATTGGGAAGATAGATTTCTCAGAAATGACACAAGTAGTAGGGAAAACAGATCATCTCTGTTTTAAATACAATTTCTGTAATATGAATAAATGAGATAAATAGTAGAGAGTTCATACTTTTGCTCAGCTTATCTTTAAAAATCTTTCAGTGTCATGAGATCATCTTTTCTGAAACTCTTGGAATTGTGAGTCTGCATTCTGCTCTTGCAGAGCAGCTCTCAGCAAATGTGATTTGCACTGAATAGGCCAAATAAATTGTCCAGGAGATTCATGAGATGAAATGAGATGAGATACACTGGAGAAATTCCCTCTAATGGGCTTAAGATTAACTGGGAGAAAAGTCTGAACCATTTGTCTGGCATTGCTTGTGCCTTAGAGCAAGCAAAATCTAATTGCTAAATTAAGCAATACAAAGACTTTATTCTTTCACAAATGTCAGCTGGCATTTGGAAGCCATTTCACAAGAACTTATCGTTCTCCTGGCACATTTACTCAACCCCACCCTGCAGCCCTTCCCTCCCAGCCATGGTTTCTTCCTTCTGGATGTCAGTACCAATCTAAATGGACTGCAGAGAGGAATGTGCACAGTCACCACTGCACAGTTATTTGGATTTTCACCACCTTTGAATCACTGGAATTCAAAGTGCAATACAGATCATGTATTTAAAAATTCATGCACCGAATCCTGCTTATGTATTAAAGTACATCCAATTCTCCTGGACCAACAGGTACTTAAACACATAGTACAAAGCAGCTGGAATTGTTGTGGTTGTTTTGATGCCATATTTTTAAATAAGAAAAGAACAAGGCTTGGCTGTTGAGTTCATCAAGGGAAATAAATAGCTGCTGTACAATAGATTTATTAATTTACTAGTTTTCCTGCCTGAACGCTCAGGTAAAACTTGGTTTTTAACATATACAACAACATGGAAATGTTGTTTGGATGTGCTTTATTTAACTGAATCTTATTAAAGTTAGTGTCTTCATTCAGAATTCCTTCAGGTAAAAGAATGTATGTCTCAGCCCGTACACTTTCTCTGACACTCCACAAGCTGAGTCTTTTTGTTACTGGCTATTTTTCATTACAACTGATTTAATGCTTCCCCTGAGCTACTGATTCCCCTCCTTTTTTAATACTGTTCTGTATTCAGTGACATGTCAGATCTTTGAAAGTGTTTTAATAGCTCTCTCGGCATCACTTCCTGAGAGAACCAAGACATTTTTCTTGGTTTCATTACTTTAAGTGAAAACTACCCTGAGCTTGCTCTAATTGACATGAACAAAAATCAGAGGAGGAGTAGGAGGGGGTTATTATCAGTACATTCAGCTCTGGCTGCTGCCTTTTGAGCCGGGAATGTGGTGCTCCACTGGCTTTTTCCAAGGAAAAATAAATGAGTGTTGCAGAGAATTGTACATGGCCAGTTAAGCCTCGCTCCTCTCAGCAGTTACAGCTCATTCTCCAAGGTCCTGTGAAGGACAGAACAGGTACCTTTGAAGGAGTTACTTTACAGTGGCACTGGGAAGGGCTCAGCCTCCTCAAAAATGGTACAATTCTGCTGCTGACCTTTAGGAGATTTTACTTTAAATGTTAATAGGACCTCTGGGAGAAAAATGAAGAATCTGGTAGAAGTTGTTTAACTCAACACGAATCTGAGGAGAACAAAGAACATTCCTATCTTTGTCTCAAGTAATGCAAATCAGGCCAAGATCATCACAAACCTTATTTGCCATATTCTTTCCTCATGTGGTCTTACTGTCTTCCAAAGTGATAAAAGCATTCTTTCTGCCAAAAATAGCAGTATTTATGACCAAGGTGATATAGCTGGGGGTTGTTGATCCTTGAGGAGAGAGAGAGCTCTGCCAGCAGAGCTATTTTGTGATAATTCACCAACAGTTTGTACGAACCCTTCATGCAGTGGGGAACAAAGTCCTTCAAAGACGGTTTGTGTAAAACGACCCTTGGCTAAGGCACCATGAGCACAACAAACCCAGCCCCCTCTGCAATGCCTGTCAGCTGCCCTGAACCGGAGATACCTCCAGGCAATTTAATTATAGTTTAAACACTCCCTTCGTCAGTAAAGCAAGTCCTGTGTCTCTGCAGAGCTTCTGACTGTCTCCAGAGCCAGTCCTAGGGAGATTCCTTAAGGAAGAGAGCACAGGCCTGTCAGTATTGCTGAGCCTCAGCCTGAACCCCATTCAGGGCATACCCGGGTTCCCCATATTTAATGGTAGAGAAATAAGTGTTGGCTGGGTCTCATAAAGGATTTTATTCTCTCCTCAGTTTTCACAGTAGGGAAATGGTGCTTTAGGGCAGCCAGAAGGGCACATGGTAGATTTTCCATGTACCACATGCCTTAGGCCACAGCACACCACCTTCCCTGCTGCCAAATGGTGTTTATTTACCACTAGGACAAAAAAAATGGGTAACAACAGGAAAGACTGGAGAAGCAATATTAGCTATTCATTTATATTCAGTATTGAAAAGCTCTTGTTCTTCCAGAATGTTTCCCTCACTAAAGCTGAGGCTCAGGGTCGGATTCCCAGGCAGGATGCTGTAGGGAAAGGTCCTCCATCTCCTCTCTCAGATGTATTCACACCGTGTGGCTGCGGCTCTTGATGGGTGTTAAGTGGGCACAGATCTGAAAATCCCTTCTGAAAATCACATCTGAGCCCTATCAGCTGTTGTATGGAAATTTCATGGCTATTTAAACCAAAACTAGTAAGTTGTATTTCCTTACTTGATGTTTATAGCTATTTTCTTTGCTCCCATTACACACAAGTGAAATGTGATGTTTCTGATCAGTTCCACTCTCTAACATGTGGGCAGGGAACTCTCCACTCTGGATATAACTAATAGAAAAAGAAACATTTTTTAAAGCTTATTTTCTATATTTTACGGGTTATGCCACTCTTGCACATCCAGAAGGAGGTTTATAAATAATATTGTTTAAGTTTTTATCAGGTTTGAAGACAGGTGATATACTACTGGGACCTCCTCTTAATAAAAATATTT